GACAAAGGAAGGCAATACAGCCATCACAAGTGCGGTTAAGAGCTGGGCGGGGGGGTAAGACCGAACCGGAAAAAAATCACCCATTGAGCAAGAGTGAGTGGCGTTGGCAATCGAGTGCATCGTACCTGCAAGCCAGGAGCCAGTGCAACGACTGCGATTGAGGCGGGACTGCTCAGCCGGAGTGAGAGTGGCTTGATGGGTCTCGAAAGCCGCTTGGTAGGCGTCGTGATGGCGTTTGGTGGCGCTGATACGACCTAAAAAGACATTGTATGTGACACTAGCAAGGCAGAATAATCAAGCCATGACACGAGGTCCCACCATCGATAGAAGGATAGCTACTTTGCTTGACTTGAGAGAGCCTTTCCCTAGGTTCTCATCCTACATCATACGTTCTGCAAACATGATACCCATACTTTCAGTGGCAGTGTGAAGTCAAGTCTTCACTTCTTGTTGGATGTTCTGTACTATTTGCCTGAATTGAATCGATTCGAGCAGCGATCATGGTGGAGTCTGCACACGCTCCTCAAAATCGTACCGATTGGCTGTACGTCGTTTCTCTTTGCTACCGTACGACGTGGTAGCAGTACCACACTGTATTCAACCAAAGTCTTCTGGTAGTTCTGTGGCTAGTACCAGGTACTGATGATGGTGCTGTTGCTGCCGTCAATAGCAGTGCAAGCAACACTAAGAAGAAACAGAAGATGTCTCCGCCCTTTGAATCTCTTTTGTTTGCTGACGATTTGATTTTGGTCCAAGGCATTTTACCCTTTGTTGGTGTTGGGCAGTATGCTTTTATTGGAGCTGTCAACAAAAAGATGAATCAACTGTACAAAGAGTACTGCAAAATTGAACTCACCAAAAATCCAAAAAAGGTAAAGGATTATGTGCAACTCGGCAATCGCTCGGCGACCTCAACAGACACGCTTTACAGCGAAACATTCTGTAACCAGCCACGTGCAGAATACTGGCTCAAGGACAATTCCAGACCCAAGAGACCTGAGCATCGTTATGTTTGCAGTGTCATTGCCACAATTGGAAATCTTACTGTCATGAAATGGGCATGACAAAAAGGATTCACATGCAATTCAGGTACAAGTGCTAGTGCTGCTCAAAATGGACACTTGGAATTGCTCCAATGGTCACGAGAGAATGGTTGTCCATGGAATGAACATACATGTGCATCCGCTGCTGGAGGTGGACATTTGGAAATTCTAGAGTGGGCTCGTAAAAATGGTTGTCCATGGAGAGCAGATACATGTTTCTATGCTGCTCAAAATGGAAATTTGGAAATTTTGAAGTGGGCTCATGAAAATGGTTGTCCATGGGATGAACGGACATGCTGGAGTGCTGCCCGAGGTGGACATTTGGAACTCTTAAAGTGAGCTCGAGAACATGATTGTCCATGGAATGAAGGGACATGTGCCTACGCTGCTCAGAATGGCCATTTGGAAGTTTTGAAGTGGGCTCGTGAAAATGGTTGTCCATGGAGTGAATCAACATATCGACTTGCCTGCAGGATGAACCAAAGCGAAGTGATCCAATGGTTATGTGACAATGGCTGCCCTGGGTCTCAAGATGAAGGACACTAATATTTCAAGCTGCCTGCAAGAATATCAAAAAAAAGGGATTCTTTGGCTGCCTGGCAATGGCTGCCCAGGGTGCTCTACATGTAACTAAGCATTGGCTCTGCTGTAGCACGTCACTTGCAAAATTCATTACTACTCCTTACAAAGCTAGCTAGTACCGGTAGTAGCTCAAGTCTTCATTCATCGTTGGTTCTTCCGTGGCCGATTCATCATTGCCAAAATCGTCGTCGTTGATGCGGCTAGAAGCATACTCGAACTCATCAAAGCTCAAGCTGTGGTGTGAGTCTGCACCGAACGAATATGAAAGAGTGAACCAGGAGCTTTGCCGTTGGAGACCTGGCCTTTGCTGCATGGATGCTGCAGGGATAGGTGGAGCGCTATGTCTCAGAGCAGCCGTTCTTTTAGTCAGAGCAGCCGTTCTCTTGGGGCTAGTAGAATGAAACCTGTTGACTGGCTGAGTACAGATGGTGTTGGGGAGGGATGGTTTTGCTTCGATGGAAGGTCTTGCATCTGATCTCTTCGATGTTTCCGCTTGTCCTACCAACAATGAGGTATCACTGCTTCGGGCCGTTTCTGAAGTAGTAGAAAGGGAAGAAGCCCTCCTCTTTTGGGCTTTTGAGGAGTTGCTTGATGCCTTTGCATTGGAAGGTCGAGAGGCTCCGTTGGGAGTTTCAATTTCAATGTATGCGGGAGGAACAGCAGTTTCTTTTGACTGGCACTGGCCCATGGTGGATGTTACGGTGCGACTGAACTTGAAAGAAGCAACGATCGGTGGGCGATCGCTAGTGCAGAAGATGCTAGCTGAACCAAACCGAATTTGCAAAGATGCTGGTGTCGGTGCCTATAAAGTTGGCAGCGAATGTATGTTTCAGCTGATCCGAACCGAGTCTAATTTTCTCTTTCGAATCTTCGATTTGTGAGGCCAAGTCTTGAATGTCGTCATCTCCTCGTCATGGATTGGCCCCTGGAGGTTCTACCGATCGGATTTGCTTGGCCACTACTGTATCCAACCACTACACAGCCAAGGACTGGCTACTAGACGATAGCTAGACTGGTCTTCCTTCAGGCACTATAAAGTCCGCCTGGAGTCCAGTTGAGTGGAAGGATGACTCATCTTGCTGTAACTCTCATCTCCGTATCCTTCATGGGCGTACAACTTGGTACTTAGCTCGGCCGGGACGTACAAGACGCTCTTTCTAACACTTGGACGCAAACGTATTAGGAAGTCAGTCGATTTCAACAGATGATGTCAACCTCCGAATATCAGGTTTCAGTTGCCACAGGGAGGAGAAGTCAAGAGGAGTGTGGTTCCTGTGTTCTTTGTTTTGCATGATCTTTCGCACGTGAAACAATTCTACCACATGTACCGTACACACTACCTGGTAGACTGAGTCACTCCTGGTAGCCATAATAGTACTACTAGCTAGCTAGCTAGTAGGGTAGAAAGTTGAGAGACAACTCTCGGCAACTGACGACCTGCGAGAATGGAAGGGTACCTGGTACCGATACATGATACATCCCATACCAGCTATTACGGCTGTACTGTGTGGCACGCTACTAGTACGGTACCACTCCCACACGAGATTCGATTCCCCCCCACTCCAGTCGCACTCTACAATTTCTGAATTCACGACAAAAGAGTATGGAGTATGAAGCTTTTCCCTTGGGGTTTCTGACGTATTTAACGATCATGTGCCATCAGCACGGTTGCTTCATTCTAAACCGGGAGAACTTTGAACACTGTAAGATAGTCTAGATCGTCTTCGAATGATTCTATTCTATTCTACAGCTATTCTACATCGTATTCACTATTCCTGTTGTTCCAGTGAATCCAACTCTGTCAAACCTTGGGTTATTGGGTTTTAAAACGACGATCTTGACCATTGCATGGCTGCCCACAATTCAGTTTATCACAACATCACAACTAATCATCTACAATGGATGATCCCCCCATACCAAGCTTTATTATCATCCCACCTCAGGCAGAGGCCCAGCCTATCCTAAGCCGACGACGTACCTATCATGTTAGAACAGAAACGTCGAAAAAGAGCGACAGTCCAGGGGCAGCGAAGAACCGCCGCAGGATCGACGGTGCTGTGGGATTGCGCTCACGAGAACCTGTGCGAAGGTGGGATAGTTTGGATTCTTCATCGTCGACGTACCACCCCAAGGAACAAGAAATTGGTAGGAGGATCCCCCCGACCAAACCCCGGCGGAAGAAGTCTTCTGAGTTTTCTGAGTTTTCAGCGCAGGGAGTCCGCCGTGCCAGCACACAGGCTCCAACTCGACCCACGCGGCTGTGACATGCATTCAGTCCACAAAAGGAAAACAAACAAATTCCAAAGAAGGAGGAATAAAGCAAACCATTATCCATATAATTCTGACACATAATGAAAATACTAGCAGCTAATCTTTTGCACGGAGGAAAGCCTGGAGTAGAAATGTTCCGTTGCACAATACGGTAGGAACAAGCAAGCAGGCCAACCATGACCACGGCCACACTTGCTTGTCAAACCTTTAGAAGTTCCCAATTCGACAATGCCGTACCTAGCTAGGGTCTACTCATTTGGTTAGCCGACGGACTGAGGCTTGGATGCACGCAGCTACTCAATTGGAGCAAAAAAGGCAATAAGGCATGTGCCATGTGCTAAGTAAGAAGGCAGAAAGCAGCTACGCAAGCCAAGACCAACCTCACACAATCAGTGAAGACCAACCTCACGCATTCCGTGAAGTCAAGAGACCTGCATGTCACCTCCTATGGTGGTCTCATGTCACTCTGCTTGATTCCGCACAGCTACAAGAAGATCAAGATATTGGAAAACCCCCCCCAGGCTCCAGGTCACCACTTGACACTGTTCTGTCGCTGGCTGCCTGACAAGCGATTATCTATCTTTTAGTCAGTCTTGGTCCGCTGATTCATTTAATTTTCTGGCTAGCTAGATAGCTAGTACTAGTAGAACATCGAGAGCACCCTTTCAACGTGATAGCTAATCTAACTACATGTAACACGGTATTATACCTCATAGGATCACATCACTTCCCCAGCTTCCCTGAAACGTCCTCTTAGCTGGCAGAGCTGGGATGCTACTGGATGTACTGTTGTTATCAACAACTTAATAAGGGATGCTGACCCCGAGCACGTGGCACGTCGTTCTTTCCTCCCATCTCTTTCCGGCACATGAACTTTTACTTCCGCCGGAGCATGAACCTTGGTGATTCAAGTGCTGCTGTATCAGCCAGAATTTTTGCAGATTCAGAAAAGGATTTAGAAGGCTTTTGATCTTGTAGAAAGGGCCACAAGGCTTCAAAATGAGCTATTGTGAAAGACTCAATGACCTCTCATGTTTAAATAATGATGATGCACAGAGTCTCCTTGCTTCCCTGCAGAACATGCATAATAATTGTTTCAGGTAAAAATGGCCTGAATGCACACTCCTAGTCTGTCGTTGCTTTCTGAAAACTTGACAATCTGGATTAGAGGAACGAAAGATTCTAATGGATTTTGGCACACCAGACACCGTAAGTTTCTTTTGATTTAGAAGGTCCTTGAAGCCATGCGAATCCTGTTTTGTCCTACTTAGTTTCTACGAGAAGAAAGCAAAGCTTTCAGTGCCTAGGCTCTTTTGGGTATTTGGGTAGTCTTAATAACTTCCAAGTTCCACCAAGGCCCCGTTAGAAGTTCCGTTGTAAACCAGACTACCGGTAGCTTAAAACCCAGCCGCCGCATCATACCATGGTAAATGCGCGCTATTTGGTATCTTTGATGTGAGAAATGAGAAAGGTAGAGGATATCCCACAATCTTACAAGCAAGCAACTAAAACCCTCACTTCTGTATTCAAAAGCCCATCGTTATACCCAATAGAGGAACCATGAAAGATCACATCCCAACTGTCATCTACGTGCCTAGCTTCGGCAGCAGCCCCGCCGCCACAATGTCGCTGAGTCCAATAAGCGACAGGTCGAGTATCGCGGCCAATATCACTACTTCTTTGCACGCCACTTCCAGATGGACAGACAACAGAATTGAGACCATGAATGCTAACAGCTCCACAAGTCTTCGTCGGTGGCAAACCACAGGCTCTTCTGCCTGCTCTGCCAAGAAACCATCTCTGCCTCGTCGACAAAAATCACTTGATAACTCCGCCAAGCTTGTCACACGTGGTTCCAGACGAAGTCCCGAAAGGTCTGCTTTCCCTGCCGCAAGAAGAACCTTGCCAGTCTTGAGACTTTAAGTAAGGAAACGATACAACAAAAGCATAAAAAGAAGATGCGACAGTCAATGAAGAGCAGGGTTGGGAAGCAAACTAGGTTAGGGGAGGAGATCGCCAGAAGAAACATCACTGTGGCGCCAATGGACACAGGAGCAAAATGTCACAAGCTCAATATAATATTGGCTAGCTGACAAGTACTCTGGATCAAGCAATAATGAATGAATGAATGAATGAATGAATGAATGAATGAATGAAAATTTTGAATCTGAAAGTCGGCACTGGTCACCATGGGCAGCTGCAGTATCTAAAAGAGACTAACAGATCATTCATCACTTCCCTCGCTGGAAGGCACGGGGGACTTTCAAGTTAAGGTGCTTTAATAAATTAAATCAAGAATGCAGCCACTATACTACCCCATTATGCTACCAACGGATGTAGCTAGTAGGAGGTACATTAAGTTAGTTTGTGGCTGTCTGTGTGGTGGATGGAGGAAAAGGTATGGCCTCAATGTCAAGAGGATGCAGCAGAATTGGCTCACAATGAGTAAGATAGGCTGTGGCACGCACATCTGCTTCTTGTTAGCTCACATTCAATCCTTGGCAGCCAATTCCAGTCTGTCAGAGGTTCCTGGGTATGGTGTGGCAAAGGACGCCTCAGAGCCCACTCAACCTAAAGGAGTCCAGTAGCGAAAGAATAAGAATTCGCTCATCCAATCCCTTTTGGAAGGTATGCCATACGTTTGAATGTGACGACACTTGAGGATTGAAGGACAAAAGAACAAGCACCTACTACTCAATATAATAGATCCTACGTGTGACGATAGTTTGATTTTCTAGCTGTGAAATGGATGGAAGAACCGAAGTGGCCCGCCCAGTGTTGCCTCGTTGTCAACATTAAAAAAGACAACACAATTGCTTGACAATGGACCTCCTGCAGTGTGGCACCACCATCTGTTTCCCAAAATGGAGATGCCCGTACCCAGCTTCCTGCAACAAGCGGCAACAGCCATACCGGTAGCACATGCAGCCGTAGCTTGAGCCTACTAGACTCTCAAGTTGAAGATAGCACCCAAGATGATGCCATTGTTGGCTAAAAGAAGACAGGAAGTGATCCGGTGGATCCTGATGGAGAACCAAGCTGGCAGATTGTCCAGCCAGAGCAAAAGGTTTGCCTTCTTTGCTGCCTTGCAAGCACCAAGGTCACACTGATATTCAATCCGCAATGGACACACGAATCGTGCGTGTCAGCTCGTCAGCTCGCTCCATTCACTGTCACTCGCTTTGCTTCCAGTCCCTGCACCAGCCCACTAATTAAAATCCAACAAGTACGACCGGACTGGACAAGACGCTATATCATCTGGCCCTGGTCTTGAGAGATCCTTCCAGTCTTCAAAGATCAAGACCGGTACTGCTAGTACCAGAGCCACAGGTGTTTGCTTCTTTTGAAACTTCAAGCTTCGTTTCGGCACTGAGAAAATGGCCCCCGCAGGAAGCCCTTGAAGAAGACAACGATTTGGTAGTCCACGCACAACTATGATAACTTCTCTTCATGGCATGTCGCCTGTACTGCGGGAGCAAACAATTCTCAACCAACCTTTAATCCATGTGGTGGCATTCGCATAGTACAAGTGCAGGCTTGGAGGTGTCCCTCTCTCGGTACCGGTACTACCCACCCCTCTGGTCAAGGCACCTAGGTACCTGCAGTGCATGTAGGTAGTCGTATAACGACCTCGAGCTCGCACAGAGCCAACACCACCAAGTGCAGATCACGTACGGCTACACGTAACCCGGTACGCTATCGCTGTACCGCCGAAAGATTCGATTCGTTCCGAGGAGGTTCTAGTGAGATAAAACGCATCTTTTCTTTGACGGCACTTTCTGTGTCTTGGCTCTGCCATGATTAGAACCCTTCAGGAGGTCATCGCCTTTCGTGCCCTTGAATGGGCACAGGGCCCAGAAATCTGGATACTAGCTAGATGGCTCGTAGAGCAACCCTACGGGCTATTACTCGTAGTAAGTGTACAGTCGTACCGTACCATAGCACAGCGACAGAATTGTGGGATGAGATGCTGGGACACGAAGTGTTCGGTCGGACATAATAAGCAAAATGGAGGGCAATAATGGATGCGGATGTTGAAGTGAAAGGAGGGTTGTAAGAACTTGAATCATGTCTGCAGCTTTCGTGCCAAAACAGGGAAGATTTGCTTGGAACTGGTTGGATTTTGGCAGAGTTAGGGTCTTTTGTCTCTTCTGTCTCATCATGATCTCATCCGATGGCATCCAACTCTCCAAATCCTTCCATCTCATAAAATAAATCTCTCTCCACAACAAGAACAACAACCACGAAAGCAACCTCGACAAGTCAGTGATCGAAATATACCACCATGCCCAACCGTCAACGCCATAATCAGATCCCCGCCTTTATTTGTTTCCGCAAAGATGAAGAAGATGTCCCGGACGTGGTCTATGTGGACCCAGTTTTCACACCACGAGCTGCCAGAACTCACTCCGCCAGTGTTGTCCTGCCTGTGGAAGGGCTACCAGAAGCCTACACCACAAGAAGAAGTTCCCACACTGGAGTGGTTCGACCTCCCACCTACGGCTTTGCAAGTCTTCGTCCTGGGGACACGCCTTTGCGCCGATGGCAAAGCAACGAGTCATCCTCCTCATCCTCCAACAAGCAACAAACATTGTCTTCTTCCCCTCCTTGTATCCCTCGGCGACAAAAGTCATTCTATACAAGCAACGTCGCACCAAGCCGAAAGGGTGTCTAAGTGCAAAGAAAACGAGCAAGAACCCCGAGTTTTGTTCCAAGACGCAGTCGCTTCATTTTTGTTTCGATATTAGCAATCACCAAACAAATCAACGCGCACCATTTCTACTTCTACATGGAATTGTATTATTGAATGTAACATTAAGATATCATTATAAGAAAGTTTTGTTTCAATGCAAAGCATGCATCGTAGAGTTGTTCCTGTCACCAGCTAGCTAGCGCTGAGTACCCCAAGTTAGATTGCTTCGATTCCTCGATTCATTCGTATGGATTTGGAATGGGTTGTTTGATGCGGTTCTACCAGCTAGCTACTACTAATGAAGAGCGAGTGCAAAATGACATGCAAGTCTGGGATCCCTCTCAGGAGCTTTGAGTCCGCTCCGGAGTTTGGCGCCAACAGCAAACAGAACAATGATCATACTACAGTACTGCTGCCGATGCGCGGCTGGAGGAAGCAGGTGTTTACTTTCCGGGCCCAAGGAAGTCTCCAGACGAGTTGACCCATTATGGCAAGTTTTAGCTGCGTCTTCTGCTTGGACACGGTACCATTGTTTCTGCTGGCCAAGTTCCAAGTTCACTCATGCATTCTTCTCTGTTTTAGTATCGATCAAGAAACAACGAGCAGAATAGGAGGAGTGGTAGCTACTATGTAGCTATCCCCTGCTACCTGCTACCGGTACATGTACAGTCCTTGCTAGAGCCAGCCAGCTAGTAGTTTGTTCATTAGTAGCTGTTCATTCTTCCGACGAGCATTGGAAGTGACCTGGTTTTTGCTTCAGAGTGATTAGCCTGTAAGAAGCCGGCCGCCCTTGCAATCTCTTCTTCGTCTTACTGTACCGTATGGACAGGCATCAACGGAAGCGTTGTTGTGTTCGCAGTAAAGAGCAATCATGGCATATGATGCAAATCTGCATGCATGCCATATCATAGAAAATGCGCACTGCAACCTGACCCCTAACGCGGATATTGCACATGATCTACGATCGTGCGAAAGGATGGATTTTGTGAAACAATCCGAGCTGGCTACCGGCAGTAGTAGTCTACTGTAGCTATCTACTAGTAGAGTAGCTTTCTATCAATTCCCTAGCTAGTGCCTGCTTGATACTATCCCACCCCCTTCGACCTATCGTGTATCGTGCCCAACTGACTCTACTCGTTGCTTGTGGAGCACTTTGCCAGTTGCCATAGATTTGTAAGACATTCCACATTGTTTTATTCAATTAATTTTGTTGTCTACGAATAGTACAATAGCACTACATGTAGTATTGGAGTACAGTACGAGAAGAGGTTTTGAGGTTTTGTTCTCGGGTCAAGTGTTCAGGTGGCCGAGCAAGATTTGAGGAGGTGAACAGGCATCAAGCACCATGACCGAGAATAGAGGGTCTTTAATTAATGAGCCAGGGGCCAAAACACTACTACTGTCAACAGCTCTATAAAATAGTGGCGGTACATGTACTAGCTAGCTAGCGCAAGCTAGCTGTCTTGCCCTTCAATTGGGTAACTAAGATCTTGTATGGGTTAGAAGACACTGGTCAAAGTGTGGCAAAGGGAAAGAAAGCAAAGGCAGCCAAGGACTAAACTACTAATAAAACAAGCAATTCCTCTAATCTTCGTTCAACCCGAAAATCAACGAAAGAGGCAAGCACTTGCCTTGAAATCTGGAGGGACAAGAAGTGTGGCTCGCAGCCAGGCTGTTGGCTCGCTAGAAGCTGTAGATGGTACCTGCTAGAAGCGGCCATCTAGCTAGCAAAAGAGTGCCGCTGGTTGCAACGAAGCCCTCGAGATCTCGGTCCTACTCTAGCTAGCTATGCATACATGTAGTACCAGTACTCGGTAAAACTGTACCGGTACAAGTATGTCATAGTTTTGGGGTTCCTGTATTGTTAATTATTTTGGGTGCCAGTGCCCCCCCTGGCTACTAGCAGTACTGTAGCTTGTTGGGGAGGGGGTTTGTAGATTTCAGCTGTTTTGTCCGTAAAAGTTCGTCTCGACGTTGGTTCAATTTGGCGACGAGTGAGGTTCCTTGTTCCTTAGCTTGGCATGTCCCAAAGAAAGGGGAGTTAACAGCCTTTTGCTTCAAGTCAAAAGACTTCGAAGACAGAATTCTTTGAGAAAAACAAGATTTAAGTAACAGTGAATTGGGTTCTGGGAGTCATTGGTGTTCCTTTCTCATTGCTCCAAACCTTCCGATTACTTATTCGTTCATCATTCAATTTGTCCATCGGCGGGCTCGGCGGCCATTACGATCGAGTAGCTGATCGAGTGTAGCTAGACTAGGTGTGTACATGTGGTGTCGCTCCGCCTGTGGAGTTATCTTGGCTACAAGCAACAAGTTATGGCAGACCATAACGGTACCAGAATGCGGGGTTCTAGGCAACTGCGTCCCTGCTTAACTCACAGTTTTTTCATGGCCCCTACCGCTTCCATGCTACCGCACACACAGCGTCTTTCTTCCTTCATCCGCCCAAGATGAGCCAACAAGTCCCTACCTACATCTACATTCCCGACAAAAACCGCCCAACGCAACCAGAAGGTGGGTATGTCGATGCCACAGGCGCCGGGAGAAGCAGCACACTTGTTGCCGTTGCGAGACGACAGCATCCAAATGCGGACAAACTTGAGCGGTGGACAACAGGATCACGCTCACCAGACTCCAAGCAAAGAAGCATTTGTGCGTGTCCTCCATCCATTCCGAGACGGCAACTGACTCCACCCCCCCGTATTCCGAATCGTTGGGAGTGCTCACAATCGCTCCGAGCACCGGCAGCCACCGCTATCCGAACAGGACCCGAGCACCCTCGACGACACAAGTCCAATTAATTGGTGAACTCTGATGAAAGAAGCTTCAAGGGCCCAGCTGTCTCATCTTTCCTCCAGAATATTCAAGGACTTCGAATACCGCGCAGCAACAAAGACTTGAAGCGGTTCATTGCATTCCCATGGGCCAAAAGTCCATCAGCGGGGATGTCTGAGGGCGAAGCCACCATCATCCAACGTACATCCGAACCATATGTACCACTAGATAGATGAAGTATTGATACGTTTATGGTTGTTACATTTTATAATTTGACTGGCTATAGCTAGGAATAGCAAGGTTTCTTCACAGCTATCTCTTCGCACGCACGACACACAAACAACCTTTATAGATGACCAGCTGGTAGTCATCGATGAGTGAGAGTTTTTGTACTGGAGGCCACCTCTAAGCACTTGTAGGCGACACAGATGGGAACAACGACTTTGCAAGGTCGTCACTTCGTTCAAATAGATCTTGACAAAAGCTTGCCAATCCTGGGAGCTTGGGAGGACAACAGTCAGAAGCGTACGCAAGCATGTATTCGTCGCACTCCCATGGGCCAATTCGATCACTAGCAGTGCTGTCATCAGACGGCGCACTGGTCGAGAGCATGTCATAATCAGCCTTTGGTGAAGGAGGAATCATAATGCTGTCGACAACATGAACAATTCCATTGCTAACTTCAAAGTCGCCCTGAGTAGGAATCGTTTCATTGTTGATCAGCAGAGGGACAAATCCAGCTGGCAAAGGCAAATTTGCAGGTGGGATACCAAAGGTTATGTTGGCATTCCCGCGGAGAGTGAGCAATTCAACACCGCGTTGCAAATCCGCCAGGTAGTACTTTCCAGGAATGAGATGGTAGGACACAAGATCGACTTTATCCTCCTCTGAGAGACCGGCCAAGTAGCCATCAGGGAGGGACGAGAAAGCACCATTGGAAGGCGCCAGCATTGTATAAGGGCCTGGTTTTGTCAGAACGTCAGATAGATCGGCTGCATCAAGGAGAAGGGCAACAAAATCACTCGTTGCGCCAAGATTGGTAGCAAACTCCAACAAGTTTTGCGTAGCGCCAAAGGGAGCAGCAGTGGGCACTGGTTGAGAGGTGACTGGTGCTGGCGATGGGGTCACAGATGGAGCCGTTGTCACAGCTCCAGATACCGGGGATCCTGTTGGGCCAGTCGTATCGTCCAGTAGCGGCAGAAGAACCCCAGAAAGTTGATGCACCACTCCATTGCTACCAATGTCATCGGCTACCACCACGGTTACTGCATTTCCACTGGAGTCTGTCACAGTTACAACGTCTCCATCGACGCCAATTGTTATGGTTCCTCCTTGAAGTGTAGTCAGAACCATGCCGTCTTCTAGATCCGACGAGAGATAAGTGCCAGCAACCACATGGTATGACAGAGCATGAACAAGAGTTTCTCCTCTCAGAAGCCTGGCAACTAGGAAGGCTGGAAGCGCATCAAACCCATCCTGATTCGGGGCAAAAACGGTAAAGGGACCCTTTGTGGTGAGAGTGGACGCTACACCCGAGTCTTTCAAAAGCTGGGACAATTCAACAAGAGAAGGCTCAGAGGCCACCAGTTCCAGCACTGTAGGCAGGACTCCCGGCTGATCGCTCATAAAAGATGACGGGGAAAAGGTTTCTTCCAGGGGCATTGTTTCTATGCTTGTGACTGACGGAGATGGTGCCATTGAATCAACCATTGTATCCATATAGCTCGGGGAATCGGAACCATAAACCATGTCACATCCACTCTCAGTATCCGCCAACTTGAAGAACTGTAGCTCATAATCTGGGATTGCCTCATGGACAAACTCCACCGTTTGCGGTCCATTTTCAAAGATGGAAATGCCAAGATTGTTGCAGGTGACCATGGTCACCTGAGTGGCACTATCCACTCGGCAGGCTGCGCACTCTCCAGCATAGACATTGTCATCCTTGACGTAATTCACCAACATGGTGCAAGTATTAGCGCTTGGATCAGCACAAGCAGCAGTGAAATCAATTGTAACATCCAGGTCGTTGGAATAGTCATACTGGTAATTCACTTGTCCTGTAATGCATCCAGTGTCAGGATTTGGGGAGGTATCTTGGAAGGTCCTTTCCACAGCAAAGCAGTCTCCTTCCTCTGGCAGACCCTGTAGCTGTTCTATGGAAATCATGGATGAAGTCGGATAGGGCACCTCAGTAGGACTACTCGTTGCAGCCGTTGGTGAGGACACTGGTAGTGTTGTAGGTGCAAGCGTGTCGTACATGTCTCCCGTGGGCATATCTGTGTCTACCAAAGAAGGCTCAAGAGTGTACTCCGGTGACAGCACAGCATTGATCACGTGCAGGACACCATTGTTTGCTAAGTTATCAGACGTAGCGATCTCCGCATTGTTGACAGCGCCAAAATCGCTGATGATAATTTCGCTTCCTTCATGGGTGACCAGTTGCATACCAGGAACGAGATCTTCACTGGTGTAGATACCGTCCACGACGTGATAAGCCAATGCATCACGCATGATTGATTGGTCTGAAAAGGGCAAATCTGCCACAATAAAGGCCTCGTTTGACGGAGCGAAAACCGTGAAAGGTCCCGGTCCAGCCAGCTCTAGCAACAAACCAGTACTGTTCAATGCAGAAACCAGAATGGTAAGTTCGGATGACTTGGCGGCAAGGTCCACAACCGAGTTGCTAGCGGAAGGAGGGAGCAACACCCCAGCCAATCCATGGACCACACCGTTGCTGGCAAGCTGATCGGCGTCGATAATGGGTGCTCCATTGACATTGAAACCACCTCCGGACGCCACAAATGTAACGTTGGTTCCTTCCAAGGTGGGAACCGCTAGTCCATCTTCCAGGCTATCCGACAGGATTGTCCCCACGACAACATGATAGGACAAGAGCGATGATAGATGTGACTCCCATTCCGGCTGCAAGTACTTTTCCAGATCAATGCCCGAAATTTGGAAGGCGACGTCCGAAGGAGCAAAGAGTGTCAACTCTGCTGCGTCAGTGTCCACGGCAGCATCCAATCCGGTAGCATTCAAGGCCGCGCTCAGAATACTGTATTCGGGGTCGCCAATTAGAAGCTGGTTGATACTCATGAGTGGCGTGGGCAATCGAGTGGGAGCATCCACTGGAGGGCCTGTTGGAACAGTGGGAGGCGTCAGGATAAACTCCGCTTCATGAATCACTCCATTGGATGCCAAGATGTCTGCATTATTGATGGAGTTGATGTTGTTGGCGTTCAATTGAATCGTGGTACCTGCCAAGGTTGGCAACGCTAGTCCCGGTGTTAGACTCCCTGACAGGTACATTCCAGTGACCACATGATGGGAAAGAAGACGGGTCAGAGCTTCCACACCTTCTGACATGAGGACTTCTTCGAGATTTTCGGCAAACTCGTTGGTTGGCGCAAAAACAGTGTAGGGACCACCCGTGGACAAGTCCAGTTCTGTTTCTCCCAGATACTCCAAAAAGGTGGTCAATGTGGGGATCATGGCAGCACGTTCGGGTATAGCATAGAGCGCCGAGGGGGGCAACAAGACACCATCCGCAAGGACATGAACGATTCCATTGGACGCCATGATATTGGCAATTTCCACAGTGACATTGTTGATGGACGCGGTTTCCCCGGCTTCGGTCACGGTAATGCTGTTTCCATTCAATGTTATCGCCATCATGTCTTCTTCCAACTGACTGTCCAAGACTTGTCCAATGATGACGTGATAGGTGAGTAGAGAAATCAAGTGCATCTCCCAATCCGGCAATAAGAATTGCGTCAGGTTCAATCCCGACTTGATAAAGGCAGCATCGGTGGGTGCAAAGAGTGTCAGAGTGCTCGTGGTGGCATCGAGAGCCGGGTACAAGCCAGTAGCATTGATCGCCGCAGCCAGCACGGTCAAGTCCTCATTGGCCAGAACAATTTCTCCAATGGTCATCATCATGTCAGTTTCATTGGTGGGAGCCATGGAGGGTGTCATGGTAGGAGCAAATGTGACAGTCGGAGGATTGGTGGGCTCGGGTGTTTCGATGACGGGAATGAGCACGGTATCGAGATAATGAATGACCCCATTGTTGGCCAAGACATCCGGGCCAATGACGGACGCATCGTTGACTCTGATTTCGGACGATTGTCGAATGGTGGCACTCATAATGCGCACTTCGGTTCCTTGCAGTGTCATAAAGGTGGCTCCGTTGATCATTTGTTCGGACGATACCAACTGGGGAATCACATGATAGGACAATACTTCGACTCGTCCTTCATAGTCGAGAGTATCCAAAATAACCGAAATGGGTACCTTGTCAAAGGCCGCATTAACCGGCGCCAGCAACGTGTAGGGTCCTTCCATACCAAGCACTCCCAACATGTCATGTGCCGAGAGTAATTCCACCAACGTGCTGACATCGTCATTGACGGTGACAATTTGTGACACTGTGGTCATGACCCAGGGCGGCAAGAGTAGGTTATCAATGGCATGTAGAATTCCATTGGCAGCGGCGGCATTTTCGGTGACGACTTGAGCGTTGCCATTCAAGACCACTTCCGGATCGACCTGTGTCACAAGGACATCCGTACCCTCCACAGTGGGCAATTGTTGTGCCAAACTAAGATCTGTTGTGAGGATGGATTGCAATGGAACAACATGATAGGACAGAACGGATGCCAGATGCAATTTCCAGGCGGGTTCATACAACTTGAGTGGCATGGCATCAAAGGCAGCATTGATAGGTGCCCATACGGTGAGTGGTCCCGGCATGGAGAGTGGTTGATCAAGATCGGCCAACACGGCGGCATTGACAAAATCGGAAAGATCATTGACTCCCGAAGCCACATCAAAAATCGTGGGAGCAGGTGCCGGAGTGGGTGCCACTGGTGCCGCAGTAGTGACAACTGGCAAGAGTAGAGTATCGACAGTATGCCAAACTCCATTACTGGCCATGGTATCGGTGGACACAAAACTGGCGGCTCCTACAACTCCATTGGGATTGAGACTGAGGGATGTCCCATGCAACGTGGTGACTACCAGGGGCTTGCCGGTCTCGAGTGTGTAGGCAAATTGGATTTCAGGCAAGACATGGTACACCATGATTCTGAATACAAACAATACAAAAAAACAGAAGAGTCAGACAACGTCACATTTTTTCAGTAGCAAAAGATAGGTAGGTTTTGTAATACTCACTGAGTCAATGCATTGGCATCTAGCTGATTCAAAATGGCATCGGGGATTTTGGCAAAGGCATCATTGGTGGGGATCAGTAGAGTGAGGGGACCTTCTTGACTGAGCGTGGGAGTCAGATCGAACCGTTTGACCAATTCGACAAATCGCGTGAGAGTGGGATCCATTTCGGCTTGTTCCAGTAGCGTGAGCGCCATGGTCGGTGGCTGAAGAACGGCATTGATGACATGAACGATTCCATTGCTGGCGGGAAAGTTTCCATTAATGATCATTCCCGTGTCTTCAAACGTAAGTGGATCACTCTCAGTGATAGACACGGTCTTGCCGGTAAAGGCCGTGGGCAATGTCAAGTTTTCACTCAACGCTGAAGCAGGCCACGGACCAATCAAGACGTGATACGACAGCAGTGCAATCAAGTAGTCTTTCCACGCCGCTTCCAAGTATTTTCCAGGCACTGACTCGAAGGCTTCATTCTCTGGCGCTAGTACGGTAAAGGGACCTGCCGTACTGTCGTTCAACGCGCCGCCATTCAAACCGGCCAACTCCAACACCGTCGTAAACGTCACCAGCGATTCGTCGTTCTGTGCCAATTCGTAGATTGTCAAATTGCCATTACTGCCTTGACCATGACAGACTTGTACTAGTTGAAGTACTTGTAGTAGTAGTGTCAGACACACTGTCAACGACCGGAAACCTATCATCATCTTGCTATATATATTCTATGGACGCTCCGAGTAGAATCCACTGTATGTCACCGGATCTTTGATAGATAGATACGGAAGGACAACAAGCAACGGAAGAAGCAAGAAATGTGAGCACCTTACAATTTGAATGTGGGAAGGCGATCCTTTCGAAATCCGTGCCTGGAAATCTACGTGGACTGGGACTCATTTCAGTCACGAGAAGGTAACGGAGCGTTGGAAATAGTCCACACAGGTTCCATTACTTAGTCAAGTTCGGAAATCAGAGAGTTTTGAATGCGGTGTTTAGAACAACGAGTGCGGAGAGCCAATGCATCGTCACACAATACAAACCATGAAGTGGATTGGATCGTCGGCATCAACTCTACAGTACGACACTGAGATTGCCTCTACCAAAGAAAAAAGGTACGATACTAGTAGGTAGGTACTGGTACGGTACGATGTAGTCTAGAGGTACGGTAGAAGAAGCTTTCAGCTTGACTGGAGTGAAATAGCCAGTTCACCAACCCAGGCAGAGTGGAATCGAATCACGGTCTGGAAATGCAATCATCATGCAGCCATGCAGAGGGACTACCAAAGCAACTCGCATGAGACAGACAGATCAGTTGCTTTAGGTTGATCCCACCGACTGACTTCACTGACTCGTCTTTGTTTCTGGTTGCAGATTACAACACACGCACTAGTCTACATGTACCGGCACGTACCGGTACAGAAGAAAACAGCAAACAGAGATAGCGTGGAATGCGTCCTCCACATTGTTCTTGTCTTCTCTGGTAGCTACGGTACCCTCATCGATACGGTAGATCAATGGTTCGTTTGCATTTCCATCTGGGATGAATCTTAGGAAGTCATCTTCGATGAAATAAGTGATCTCTCCAGGTAGGAACAATATAATCGAAGGAGGGTTACTAGCTCAGTGAGTGGTTAGAGAGGACTGGGGGGGGGTGGACTCCTGGGGAAGAGTGGAATTTGCAGAGCCAAAGAAATAGCAGACCAACTGATGGAGGAAAAGGTGTCCATGAAGGAGGTCAGAAAAAGGAGAATGGATCAAAGGGCAAAGACAAGCGGTAGAGATCAAAGAGCGCCACGATCGTCCCAATGTCGGGAGCTCATCGTACACGGAGGCACATCATAGCTCGTACCGGTAGGAGCAAACCACAGAGTAGACCGGGACCATATTGTAGTGCATTCCATTCTACTAAAGGAGTCCATCAGTGCAAGTTGCATTGGCCAGCCAATAAGATTTTGGATCCACAAAAGCTGACATGGGTCTTGACCGTGTTTTCTGCCAGGACGAGACAAAGTCACAGTTTGTGCTGCCAAATTAAGTTGAGGATGAAGGATGGAGAATGAATCAGTCTTCTCTTGTTGTTGTTGTTTTTATATCGTACGCTTTCCTCGCGGCTATCGTACATGTTGATTTGGATCAATCCAAGGGGGGGCAGCTCATCAGAAAGGACCACAACACAATGGGTATGACTACTTACTACCTATGACATCCGGTAGCTACAACTAACTGAGTTGCACCAACTTGGGGTGGCGACAGTCAAGATGAAGAAACCAAAAAGTATGAGCAGATTGAAACTTTTTGGGGCTCAGAGAAGCAGTGCCTTTCAGTCTGTGTCAAACTACATGTAGGAATGCAGTATCGTACGTGTTCAACTACAGATTGCCAGAAAATTCAATCGAGAAGAATGGGGAAATACTTGCTGGCTGGAATCATAAAAAAGGTGAAATAAAGACGAAACAGAAGTACACTGTACTCGGCAAAAGACTGAGACTCCATGAATAAAGATTCTGCCAGTTCTAGCTAGGTATGCATAGATACAACGAACAAGCTAATCAATTAATACCAAGTGAAATGCTCCAGTTGTTCCTTCCAGAAGATCACAGGCTTCTGGCTACTAACAAAAAATACAAGTACAAGCTGGTAGTGACATTCATGGAACACAGTAACAGAGTTTTCGTGGGTTGCCCGTTACTGTAGTGGTTGAAAATCTATCATCTACGATCCGCGTACGAACTTGTGCATTGCCACCCTTGGGTATATATCTTGAATGTCCTGTCTCCTTTCGTTCGACCTCTCTTGAACTCAATTTTCCACTGCTAGTTTTACCCGTTACACTTATTTCGGTTGCTGCTGTTGCTGCTGCATGGCTTGGTGCTCTTGGAACCTGAGGCCAACCCTCTGGGCCATCTTGATGTAGCGAGACGCGCAGTTCTCCATGCACGAAGTCTCGTACTTCTCCAGTGTCTTGGAGCGAAAGGAATACGAACACGCTTCGAAGCATCGCTCCACAAGATTGTTGTACATTCTGTCAGTTCAGTTCAGTTCAGTTCAGTTCAGTTCAGTTCAGTTCAGTTCAGTTCAGTTCAGTTCAGTTCAGTTCAGATCAGATCAAGAAAAAGAAATGGTGAGTTGACGCACATGACAGTATGGTGGCAGGATCTGGATGTAGACTACTGTACGTACGTGAGACTGTCTGTCATCTGCGCCTGCTCCAGCTTTTGCATGAACTGCTGTTGCTGATGCGGCGGTAGATTCTGTACATTCTCCATTGCTGCAAAACGGTATCTAAGGAAAGAATAGGATGAAGCTTTCGTAAGTTGATTTGTCTATCGTTTGCGCTGCAGATGTATGTGTGGAAGTGCCACAGCCGTTCATTGCTTTTGTTCTGTTGCTGCTTTGGCAGCAATCTACAAGCCAGCAGAGTCAGAAGCTCCTGCTGCGTCTTGGTTTGGACCGGGGCATGCATGTGACAATGTTGGCTAGTAGCTACTAGTCGAGTCAGAGTTGAACCAGGAGTGTGGCCTGGAATAGCCAGTGGTAGGCACCATAGTTGCTCTGGGAGTGGGACAGATGTATGTTTTCTTGGAATTCGACCACGAGTGGGGACAGCAGTTTGTGCTGGAATTTGACTTGGGATAGATGTGGCGGCGGGTCATATAAGCAATATAGTGTTGGTCTTCATCTCGAAGTGGGTGCAAGGGAATATTCTTCTTGTCAACGCCAACAGCTTTCAAACATTTAGCTTCAAATGTCACTAACAGACCAGCAAAAAACTCCATCCTGGAGTTGTTCAAGGAGCTTATTGGGAGATGATCTGGGAGGAGTGGTGGTGGAGCCTGGTAGGCCCAGGGAGTTGGTCAGGGAGTTGGTCCTGGAGTGGGGCATGTTGTGTTTCCAGGGTGGGGGCTGGGGTTGTTCCTGGGTTGGGGAAGGCGTTGGTCTGGTGGTGGGTCTTGGAGTTCATCAAAGGTTTGGTCCAAGAGAGGTGCCGTCTTGAGTAAATCCGGGGGTAGGCCCTGCCCTGCCCTGTACATGTATGTACCAGGTACCACTTAGTTGGTCCAAGGTTGGGTCCAGGGTTGCTACGACCGATTGAGTCCGGATGTTGGATTTGCTCGTAAATTTTGCTTTGACTTTCCTTGCTCTGTACTCTGTACCGGTACCGTGCTCAGCAGTAATCGTTCACTGTACTACTGATGCTGATAACGGTACCCGTACAATCGTACATGTGCGTACTACCGAAGGTCCGTAGTCATAGTATTTTGCTCAGTACTGTTCAGGATTCTACTGTACGGAGACAGCACGATTGCTCTAGCTAGACGGACTGTCACGTCGTCGCGTCATCACAGGCCATCTTTTTCTGTCTCTTCTCCTTGGACGAAGCCCTTCTTTTTAATCGTTCATTTTCGTTGAAAAGACTGCTCTCAGTTAAATCATACAAGGGTAATGTGGAGTAGTAATCTTGCATTTTCCTGATCGATCTATTTACAGAGATGAATCTTTCCAAACAAGAGACAACAGCAGATTTAACGAGGTGATCAAATGCTGCACAGTGCACAGTGCATAGCCACAACAACATCATTTTCAGATCCTGCTTTCTCACACAGTATCTTTTTGAGCGGCCCGTAGCTACCTCAACCTTGCTTTGCAACTTCTTTGCTTCATTCCATAAATACCTGCCCTGCTCAGAGCCATATCTTTCAGATTCTGATTCAGTTTTGTTGTACCATCCCTGGAGGTGCCCGAGAAGGAAAAAATTTCGTTCAGTAGTAAGACCATGATGACGCCCAGTAGTAGTCACCAAACCATGAAACAGACGGATGCCAATAGCAGCTGCAGTTTGGATTCTTCCATTTCTTCGTGGATGTCAAGACGTCGTCATTCGCTAAGTGTTAGTACTCGAAGCTTCATAGAGAGAGATGTTTCCACCTGTACGATGTGGAACCAAATTCCTCAAGAAAGCCTTCGTCGACGCATGTGTCTAGTTCACCCCAATCCAATTCATTGCCTTCGCAGCTTTCGTCGTCTCCTCCGCCAAGGAGCTTTGACCGGTCAACCTTGGACAAGACCATCTGAAGTGTATTTTCGTCAAACGTAGAACCAAGACATGCCGCAATCTGTAGGATTTGCAAGGTGCCATCTTCTAGACTTTCAAGTTTGTCCTTGGTCAGTCCGACAATGTTGTCTGTGATTTTGATCTTGGCTTCAATTTCCGGGAGGTTCCAGATCCATTTCATGAGCCCAAAGTTGTAGTCTAACAATCCTTGGGACTGAAGCCCGGTCATGAGCTGGACCACCCAAAACGGATTACCCTGTGTGTTTCGGTGCACCACTTCTACCAGTGGAGCCACAGTTTGTGGTTCATCAAGGACAAACAAGTCACAAACCATCTGATTCACGTGTTTCACGGAAAGATTGTCGAGAGCAATGCGGGTCATTGGGATCCCCTGGTGCGGATTGGTTTGGTCCGCCACAGCGGTTTTGGGAAGCTCTTTTGGGCTTTCATTGTCAGCTTTGTTTCCCAATGCACCCAATAGTTTGGATAGAGGATGTTGTGGGTTGGAGCTCACTTCATTGCTGCGATAGACACCCACAACCAACAGTGGAATGTTCTCTTTGCCAATGGCAGATTGAGTCAGAAATGCCTGGAGTAAGCTGATGCTTGCTTGATCTGCCCATTGCATGTCATCAATTACCATGACGATAGGACCCCTTTCGGCCACTACACTGATGAATGAGCCAAAGGCAAACTGTAACCGTTTGAGCTGATCTGCCATTTTCCCATCTTGTATGGGTTCGTGTTCTGATTCATCCATGGTGGCCGTGTCTGTGGTATCTTCCAATGGTTCTTTGCCAAGTGTCTCCCAATCGAAGTCTTTCCCCAGAGACCTGCTGCTGCTGTAGTGCGATCCAAGATCCCGATCACTACTACTAATGTCGTCGTCATCGTCATCACCGATGCTATTGACAATGAGTTCAATGTTGGGAATAATGGTTTTGAGGACATGAACGTCATTGGCCAATTTTTCCCGTAGACGAGATTTCATGGCTTTCTTGGCTTGACGTTGTCGTTGATGTTCGCCCACAATCAGCCACTGATGAATCAGGGTACAGAGTTGCTGACAAGCCATGGTGATTGCAGCATAGGGTGTCTGAAGGTCCTCTTGGTGTTTCTGTTCAAACTTGCCGCTGACAAAGAGTCCACCAGCCTTGTCCACACGATGTTCCAGAGCTTCCCGGACCAACCGAGACTTGCCAAGTCCCGAGTATCCCTCGACCAAACACAACTCTCGCACCCCTTTGGAATGTGTCCGGTCAAACAACTCTTGCAAGGCGGCCACTGGTTCCTCTCGACCATGCATACCCAACGACCAGGTCCTTAGCTTATTCAAACTCATCTGAGAAAGATTCTCGCAACTTTGACGAGTCTTTGAAGACCGCGGCTT